ATTATTTTTATATGTTTTATACTTACTAAATAAGTATAATTTTTATTAAATAAAACTAAAACTAAAATTAAAATTTATTAAGTAAATATAATATAATTAAACTTTTATATATTTTAAGTAATTATTATAATCATATTTTATTTTTTATAAATGCATTTATTTTTTATTGTTTTTTTTTTCTTAAAGATATTTACGGACCGAAAATGGTTTGGATATAGTTTTGAGAATGGAGTTGGTTGGAGATGGAATTTTTAAAAGTTACAAGCAAGTCCACAATATTTCGACCGAAACCGGTCTGGATATAGTTTTGAGAATGGAGCCGGTTGGAGATGGAACTTTTAAAAGTTACAAGCAAGTCCAAAATATTCGGACTGAAAACGGTCTGGATATAGTTTGAGAATAGAGCCGGTAGGAGATGGAACTTTTAAAAGTTACAAGCAAGTCCACAATATTCGAACCGATAACGGTCTGGATATAGTTTGAGAATGGAGCCGGTAGGAGATGGAACTTTTAAAAGTTACAAGCAAGTCCAAAATATTCGGACCGAAAACGGTCTGGATATAGCTGCAAGTTTTAAAAGTTTCTGTTGGGTCCTTTATATTCGGACCGATCCCGGTCCGTATATATTTGCTATGCCTCTTTCCGCCACATTTCCAGACCGTTTTTGGTTCGCACATATTTTATTATTTTATTATATTATTTTTTTGGGACCAATTTCAGTCCGGTTATTTCAATTTTTAAATAACCATTTATATTTCTTACTGAAATGTATGGACCGATTTTATGTTGGTCTGCATATTATTTTTTTTCATACCAGGTTTTTTCAGATCAACTATAGGGACCAAGATCAATCCGGATATATATATTCAGACCGATTTGTAATATATCCGGACCGATATTTCGGTCTAAGTATCTGATTCCTGCAGTAGTGTTTAGACTAAATTCAAAAACTTTGTATTTAAGTAAAAACAAACAATGTATTTGAATTTGGAGCTCCAAATTCAAATACACTCCACCTAAATTCAAGTTCTCAAAGAGACCCTTATGAAATTTAGCTGTGGTTGTGAAATATATACTAGAAGAATAGTTAGGGTTTTGAGAAGTTGTCAATTTTTTTGTAATGAGTTACAGCTATGGTTTTTAGAAATTCATAGGTACAAGTTAGTATTATACCTATAGTTGTTCATGATCGAAGATAAAGCTCTTCTTTGTACCTACTCTAGGTAAAATTGCATAAGCATAGGCATATTATTTCTATGGTTTTTCATGTGTACAAGCATATCTTATTCATATACCCACAAACTAGTAAAACGTAAATAATAAGGACTTATACCCACAAAATTTTGAGCGTAAGTGAAAAAAGTGTAGGTATATGACAAATTTGTTGTAGTGAAACTTGTATTTGTGTTTAAATTTATAAATTTATGTTGTTATAAATATGAACTCATATATTTCCTTATGTATATGTATTACAAACTAAAATATGTTTTTTATAATAAGTTTAATTATGTTTTAATTTATATCAAATGTTATAATATTCAATGAATATGCATATATACTTGCAAGTATATTTATATCCCGTAAGTTAGATAATAAATATAAATTTTTAATACTTAAATAAATACTAAATTTTATAATTTTATAATTATTAATTTTCAAATTAAATATAAATATAAATAAATTTTAATTATTAAAAATAAAAAAATAAATAATTAAAATTTTAAATAACTATAAAATATCAAATTTATATATAAATAAATTGTTACCCTTACAATATTGATGAGCTATTAATTCCAACCATGCAAGATTAAAGACAAACAAAAAAATCCATGGATACGGTCATAATCATCACACGGTAAAAAGGATAAAAGGGCATTTATTCACGAAATGACTTGATTAAAGATAATCAAAGCACTCACAAGATGCTTTTGGAAATATGTATCAAAAAGCGTTTGTTAGTTTAAATCTGTAGGGCCTCTTAGCGATTACCTGTCCGATAGGAATACCCTTTCATCCTCGGTTAAATGCTAAATTTGGTCCCTCAACTTTAGTGAGTTACACATTTTTAGTCCCTTAATAATTTTTTGTATTTTTTTGATCCCTAAACTTTAAGAAATGCACTCCGTTAGTCCTTCTGTTAATTTCGATTGTTAACTCGCTTGTGTGGCATTTTTTATAATTTTTTTGATGACATGACAAAAACAAATTGAAAACATGTTGATGTGGATTTTTTTTTCATGCCAACTCATATTATTACTATTTATATTTTTAAAAAATAAAATAAAATAATTCCATTCATCTTCTTCCTTTCTCTTTTTCTTTTTTTTTCTTCCTCTTGTTTCTTCCTCTTCTTCCTTGGGTCATTGAACCCTTCCTCGGGTCATTGAACCCAGTGTTGGGTTCCAGCGAACCCAGTTGCTGGGTTCGAGGGAACCCAGCAAATGAGTTCCATCGAACCCAAATCTGCTAGGTTCAACGGAACCCAGAACCCAGCTCCACTTTTTTTTTTTTTTTTGTTTATATGATTGTTTACCAAGAGATTATCCAAATTGCAGGTTGTTGTGAGGGATTTTTG